TGCCGACTTGGCAGTCGGGTAAGAATTCAGCGGCTTCTGGTCGAATGCGACTGAGATGAGGGCTCTTTCTTCACTACCTTCCATCCGACTAATGGACGAACGCTGTCGTCCGTAGGCTGCTGAACACCCAGGAAGCCTGCCTCCAAGCAGTAAGTCGATTCTTTTCTCCTTGACTTATGATCGCCCCTACTGTTCCCGCTGACGGGAGTGTTGCTGCCGCTGGTGGTGTCATTCATTTTAAATGTGACACCCACCTTTCCAAGCGGCACCTTTCCCTGCTCGATCGAGCTGGTCACCCTCTTTCCGTTGTTGTCGTACGGAAAGAAGCGAACCAGCCAGCCACTGCACGTGCGCGGACCTGAGCCGTACGACTCGTCACAGTACACTTTGCTCCAGAAGTCCTTGTTGATGGACCCCTCGTATGTTCGTATAAACTCCGTTAAGATGGGTTCTAGCTGGTCGACCCAGCTGTCGAGGTTGAGGCCCAACTTCTTCAAATGCAGAGTCTTTCGCCGCAACACTCTCCAGTCTTCCAGTGTGCCTTCCAAGGTGACCTTTGGAATTCCGCAAGCGAGTGAAATCCTGTAACTAAACATACTCTTGAAAACATCCATGATTGCGATCTGGCTGGCCAATTTTGTTGCAAAAGTGCTGGTGGAAAAGTTGCAGCCAAGAGCATCAGCAACCCCTGGTGCCGCTCGAGCGGTCACGGCTTCACCCACCATCTCCACGCATCTTGGCCAGCATACCTCCCCATCCAGTGTGCTGCCCACTGTTCCTGACCCCATTCTGGTGCCTGCCGATTGCATTTGCACTCTGGTGGACCTTCGACTCTTCCGCCGTGGCTGCTTCTCCACAGGCACATCCACGACTGAGGACGAGACTGAGGACGTGACCGAGGACGTGACTGAGGACAACGAGGAGAACGAGGACGAGAGCGAGGAGTTTGCGCTGCTGCAGATGGTGGTCATCGCCCCTGCTGGCGCCACGGCGATCTTTATGTGCCTCCTTGCATTTGGAGGGTGCTGAACGAAACGGTTTCGATATTTGTTGTTGACATCTTGATGCACATGTGCTGCAATGCCCTGCCCGATAGCCAACCAGACATCGTCTGGCCGTAGAATGAGATGTAGATGGTGCGAGTAGGCACGGACCACCGCATCGAAAAATCCATTGAAGTGTGCACCCAGAATGACTGGCTCCATGGGATCGGAGATGGCAACCAAGGCCGGGGTTCCATGTCTCGACAGCAGCGTCGTGTGCTCCGACCTCACGCGTGACGCCTTCAGTGTGTCAGACAAGACACGAGTGCATGCCGATACCATGGGAGAAGACTTCCTTCTTCCTGTGGGCTTGCCTTCCTTGCTGGAAACGCACCCCATATCTTCCTACCTAATCGCTATGCTAAGAAAGGCAAGGAAGACCTCTAAGGATGGAGGCGAAGCTCAGACCTTCAGGGAGGCTCGCAAGAAAGCAAGAGATTTTTGAGTCGCCGCGGCCACAGGGCCGAGTGACAAATGCCCTAACAACTGCTTTGAGCGCAGCGAGGGAAAACCTGCCGAACATCCACCCGCTCTCCAATTCTCGCTCGAGATGTGAACTGCTTTGAAAAACAACAATTTGAAAGCTACATGGACGATCGGGGCTCAAACCCCAGACAACTCGTCCAACAACACACTCTTTTCGGCGCCTCTTGGTGAATAACAACCTGGGTCTACATCGGTCACTCCGCTTACGTTGTTTTACTGTCTATCTAAGTGATCGCATTCCATGTTCTCGTCGACCCTCAAAACTTTTCGCTCAAAGGACACGGCAGCTGCCAGCTTGACAGCACTCGCGTACAAATTGCTACGAAGCACTACAAACGTATACAGTACTGTACACTTATCGTCAGCAAAATTCTACGTCAGGTCAAACAAACAGCGTGCAGCAAAATTTTGCTGACGTCAACATTTACGACTTTACAACACATATTTTGTGACACATTCGCCTATCAATATGTCACAAGGAATAACATTAGTACAACCTTTGCATAGTCAACTTGAACACAGCAATCGTTGCCACAATGATGCAAGTCATCCATCACTAAGAGACACAAAGCGACTGACTGACTGACTGACTGACTGACCGACTGACCGACTGACTGACTGACTGACGGCTTAGGTTCGTGTGGGTGCAGGTCATAAGCGAAAAACTTAGAACTGGTGGGTTTGTTCCTGAACCAGGAATGGAATCCCGTGCTACGGACCAGTTGAGGTACATTCAGCTGCTTGATCGCTGCTGCGGGCCCGATGAGGTCTACGGAAGAACAGACAAACCCACCTGTCCTGACAGAAGACAGCTAGCTACTGACAGCTGCTTGAACGATCACTGCTTTGACTCGATTCACAAAAAAGTCAAACCAAGTTTCGTATCGTGGGCGTCGGCAACCCCGCCTTTTTTTTCTTCCCCCGCCGCTACTAGACCTCCCTACTAAGTTTCGTATCGTGAGCGTCTGCAACCCCCTTTTTCTTTCCTCGTCGCTACTGGACCTCCCTCTTGATTGTTGCATTGGCAATGCATGAGACTACAAACTGTACCTGAGCTTTCCGTGTGCCAATGTCCGCTTCGCTAGCCGTTCCTATCCGCCATCGAGGAGTTGTCCTCACCCTTGATCTGCTATACAAGACAGACGAGATGTCGAAACACTTTGTGGACCCCCAGATTGCGTGCCCTGTCGCGAGGCTGGCACGCATATTCACGACGTGACGTTCTGCAAGAAATGTTGCGTTGGTTAAGGCTACAGCCGCTTGAGCGCAATCGCCTCACGCCTTCGACTTCCCCTGTAGCAGTTTCCCCTGTAGCAGCAGGCCCTTGCCGCCACACTGGCAGTGCTTCGTTTCAGTCAGCACACCGACCCAAGCATTCCATACATCATTTTGGGGCCACTGCCATGGGCCCCAAAGGTCAGGACACTCTGGCTGGCATGGAAGTAACTCCTGCATCAGCATTGACTCCCTCCTAACGCTGCCTCAGGAACTGGCATAATATTGATTGACGAAACTAACGCCTCACTCACGGTCCGCACTCTTTAAATCTAGTACTCGAACAATCGGGACAACCTGGATGCCACATTCCACGATAAACAGAAATAATACAAAACAGTAAATAAACAGCTCAGCTGCTGGTACACCCATGGGCTGTTGAAATACAGACTGAAGTTCGAATCCTATCATAGATGAACAGAACCGAATCACTCTGAAGTATCTGGGCCGTTGCCCTTTTGAAAAAGAGGAGAAATTTTAACTGCTTGAAAAAGAGGAGAATTTTTTTAACTGGCCAAAAATGCAGACGACAGTTCGAATCCACGTGGAACGAGGTGAATAAACTAAAATACTTCAGTTGCCTGGGGCAAGTCAGATCAATAATGAAATCTCAAGGCCATCACCCTTTGAAACCAAAAAGAGGGTGTGTGTGGGGGGGGGGGGGGGGGCGGGGAGAGAGGCAGAGACAACCAACACCTCTTCACAGTGTGGGAAATCCAATATGGACGTAGCCTCTCTCGGCTGTTAGTGGCCTCACAGCGGAATCTTAACGCCTAAAAGCTGTCCCTGTAAACTGGTTTCCTGAAGTATTATAGGAATTCATACCTAAAACAGCAAGTTCTTTGTTCCTGGACGCGAACTCCGTAGCTAGGCATCGAAAAATATGTTTTTTTGGAATGTTTCTTTCAAACCACCACGACATCCGAGCCTGGCGGACTCGCACTGCACACCAAGCTTTGCCAAACCGGCAATGGTCTGCACTTTATCAGCCACAGGACCTCCTCCGTGCATGCACGGATTCGAACCGGCGCCCTCAGCCTCAAGAGCCGAGTCTCTTCACCACTACAGCCATGGCACGGTGTACAAAAGTGGACCCATGCCGGTCGTGATATCCACCCCACCCCTGCATGGCTGTAGTGTCCTTCAACTCACACACACACACACACAACACCACGCAAGGCATCCGCCACACAGGCAATAGTCGCACACTCCGCTCTCATCCATCACAACTGCAAACCGGCAATGGCCCACTTTTTTCCTTTTTTTTTTCCTTTTTTTTTTTCTTCTTTTTTTTTTTTTTTTTTTTGAGGGGAAGTGTCTGTTATATATATATATTGTCACATCATATATATATATCAAGAGAACAAAGAGGGCCGAGAAAACCCTCACAAAGGCGCTGCCAGCCATTGTGATCCGGTAGCCCCGAGCCCTCCAAAGTTCTAGGAGTGAGCCACGAGTTTTCTGAAGCTGGCTGGGGCCATGTACAGGCGGTTTGAGGCAGGCCTGTGCTATAGGGGGAAGGGCAACAGACTGAACTTCGACATGGGCATAACTGACAGCGAATCCTTCCGCGGCCAGCAATAACTGCTGTCAGGGTCCTTCCCCCCCCCCCCCCCCCCCCCCACCATAACGTGGGTAAGTGTCAAGGGTAAAAAGAGTACTGTTATGGAGCCTTGCTGCACTACACTTGAATCTTGAAGACCCCAGTGTTCGGCACCGCCCCACTTCCACTTGAAAACAAAGGCTTCGCTTGGAAACAGCTTCAAGAGCTTTCGGATCCACCACACTGGATTCTTCAAGAGTGCGGGCCTCACTGCACTCACTCTTGACGGATGGGATGGTCTTGAATTTCTTTTTCAAGAGCCGTCAGAAGGCTCGATTCTGCTGACAGCTCTTGAAGTGTTCAAGTGTGCCTGCCTGCAGTCTGGGCAGGCTTTTTTTTTTTTTAGCCCGACCCTTCAGCTTTCAAGAGCGGGCCTCGAGTCTCTGCGCGGACAAAGCAGCTTGGCACCGTCGTGTAGCATTCATTCAAGACCGGAGAAAAAGAAAAAAGGAAAAAATAAATTAAAAAATCAAGAATCTTTCAAGAGGAGGGCCGTCGAGAGTAAGTGCAGCGACGACGGGTATTGTGAGCATTTCTCTTGTCTGACAGCGCTTGATGATGTAGGCTTGAACGCTTTTGTGAGTCAAGCGTGAGGAAGTGCAGCGAGGCCCACCCATGTTTTTACTTGAGGGACGCTGGGCCCGGTTCCCAGCAGGTGATGCTCCCCAACAATAGAAAGAAGCATTGTTGTTACTTTTTTATTGCAAAAAGGAAAACGACATGAAACTGGAAAAACAAAAAATGGCAGCGTCTCTTGAAACGTTGCGGCCGGTGATGTTCGAGCACGTCACAGGCAGGAACTAAGGCAAGGATCCCACTGCAGTGCGGATGGAAAAGACGTTTGGCCACGAAAAGAGGGCAAGTCATTTTGGAAAGTCGGAAAGGACTTTTTTTCCGGGACCCCATCGCAGAGGACCAAATGCGCAAAGAATTTTTGAAAACCCTTTGGAAATCAGTTGAGCCAATCGTTGCCTGTTTTCGTTGGCACTCGTTTTTTTTTTTGTTTTTTTTTTTTTGTTTGTTTGTTTGTTTGTTTGTTTGTTTGTTTGTTTGTTTGTTTGTTTGTGGCACTCTTCATCTCTATTGGCCGCTGCCTCCCGTGAGACTTTTCCAGGAACGACATGCCCTCCCCCCTAGCCTCTAGAGTCGGCACAAAATTGCGGCGAGGAATCCTCCCGTGAGACTTTTCCAGGCCGCGGACTATGTGAAAACACAAAACGATGTTTTTCCAAGCCGCAATCTTCGGTCTGTGGGGTCCTGGAAAAGGGTTTGCGAAATAAATTTCATCTTTTCCAGGACATTTGCGGCAGGCTGTCGGGTCCTGGAAACAGTTTTGCGGCGAAGTTTTTCCTTTCCGCGGTCCTGTGGGGTCCTTGCCTAAGAAAGAAGCGAAGTTGGTGTGCCCTGCAGGGGTATCTCATCATACGGCCTCCCCACACCAGTCTCGAAATGTGAAAAAGACAAAAATGTGGTGGGTGCATCTGGCGATCTTCTAGCGGGAAGTTCATTCTCATTTTGCACGTTTCGAGAGTGGTGTGGCGATGCCCATATACTCTTCCTCTCCCTATCATCATACCGAGAGGACAGCGCGAACGTGGAAGCTAGCAAACTGCCGCATCAAAAACAGAACTACACCCAGCACGGGGAGCAGTGAAAAATAACATTTTTCGCAAAGCACTAATTAATGACCCTTGAACGCGAGAAAACCAAAGCCTGAAGGCTGAAACTGAAAGCAGTGAAAGCACCACTGCTGGCGGAGGTGGTGGTGTGTCAGTCTGCAACAACCAGGAGACTTTCAGAGAGAGAAAGGTCATTTAATCGTGCTCGTCCTCTGTGTCAAACACATCCATTTTTTGTGATCGCCAAGAAAAAGAATAAACGAAACAAAAGGCGTAAGGCAGCCGTCGATGCAGAGACTTACAGGACGACAGCACAGGTCATCACCTGCACTACGCTTTTGTCTTCCGCTTTCCCCGCTCTGCGAACAAACGGACATCTGCCAAGCCACCCCTCTTCTCTACAAAGTTGTGCAAACCCCCCTCCTCTCTCTCTCTCTCTCTCTCTCTCTCTCTCTCTCTCTCTCTCTCTCTCTCTCTCTCTCTCTCTCTCTCTCTCTCTTTTCTTTTTCCTTTTCTTTCGCCCCCTCTGCTAAACCCCTCCTGCACCCCTTTGCCAGACAGAAGTCAGACAACTACAATACCTTGCATCCTCATTAAGAGGCCATAATTGCACTGCCCCCTCTAGGGCCATAATTGCACTGCCGCCCGGCCCCCTTCCCCCCCCCCACCACCACCAACACGAACACCACCAGTTTGGCAGAATGTGCATGAGTGTCATCACATGCACATTTGGTAAGGACATCATTTTTCTTCATTGACAAGGCAGTATTGCATAGATTAAGCGGTACTGTCCACTTGGCCTTTTTCTTTTGTTTTTTGCTTATTTTTCGCCTGTTTTCTTTCCTTTTTTTTTTTTCGTTTTTTTTGTTTTTGTGTTTGTTTTGTTTTCTCCATGACTCTGTCGTGCGGCGAGGCCCCAATTGCATAGATTCAGCGGTACTGTCCGTAGGACCGTAGATGTTAACGATCAGGGCTCATCCAGCGGCCTAGCTCAGTTGGTAAGGCACTTGAGATCCAGTGGCATTCAGGAGGTCTTGGGTTCAATCGCCATAATTTGGCCTCATGTACCTTCCTGGGCAAGCTTGGTGCCCGCCACCTAGAGATATGCCGTTGGTCCCCCCGAGTGTCATTGAGCAGAGACTGCTGATGTTCATAGGGGGAGGGGACCACCACCGGAGGGGAGGCACAGTGACTGGCCCATCGAAGAAGCTACTGTAGGTCCTGATGCTACCAGCTGACCCCTGGCCGGTATCGCCCACCTGCTGTAGCAGGTATCACATCTGCTGGTGGGTGCAGCTCCCGCATGTTCCCTCGTTGGAGGCTTGAGCACGGATGTGGCTGCTACAGGGTTCCCCGTAATACTATAATGACAATTAAAAAAGGCCTGAAAGGCCGTCCTGTCCAGATTTGACAGGTAATTGAATCGGTTGGGCTTAAAAGAATTAGCCTTTAAAAAAAAAAAAAACCGCCCAGGGCTCCCTATCTCTAAATAGTAAATACTAGTTAAAAGTAGTGAATCCACGCAAGCGAGACCTTCCCCTCTTGTAGAGGTTAGAACCGGGGCCAAGTCCCACTTACGCCGATCCTTGATTTCTGGTCGTTGATCTGCCAAATCTGCGGTCAGAAATT